CCCCAGCAGACCAGGTTTCTCAAAGTGAGCCCTGGGGTGTAAGTAGCTGAACCCCTCTGTAACCCCTCTGGCCACTCCTGTAACCATTTGTTGACTTACCAGATTCGACTGGCCATTTCAGACCCCTTCCCTTTGACCAGGAGGATTGATGAAAAAATTACCTGTGCTCCAGAGTCCCTTACTGCTGCTCCCAGAGCTCTGTGATCCTTCTTGATACTCCTCATACAGCTCCTGGCTGTATCGCTGGTGCCCACGTGAAACAAAAGTAGTGGGTAATAGTGGACTGTATGGAGCTTGGTAGTCTCTCAGTGACATCCTCGATATGAGCCCACCTCTCTAGAAGTGGGTCAGGCCTCTGTACCTCTCAGAGGAGAGTTGTCTCCTACTATCACCCGTCGCCTTTTCTTAGTTGTGCTGGTTGTTATACAGGGAGCAGATCAGGCTCTTTACTCGGCTCCAGCATCTCTCCTAAAGTGACAGGTCTTTCCTCTCCAGTCTGCAGAGTGGTGAAGCGTTCTGCAATGGCACCTCAGGCTTTGGGGGAAGCCTCTTCCTCCTGCTGGTCCTTGCCCTTCCAAGCTTCCATTCTTCTGCATTATTGCCCACCCCCCTTCTCCCCGCCTTCTGTCTGTGCCTGTGGCTGTTCAGCCGTGGGCTTTGGGTCCTCTGCAGACTGCACTTGGGAACTAATCTAGCTGTTTCTCTGCCCCCCTGATGCTCTGCAGCCTTCTCACCGCCTCCTGCAGCTCAGCCACCTGCTGCAGGAGCTCCTCCACCTGCACGCACCTTGTGCAGGCAGCTCTGCAGCTTGTTCCTGTCCCCGGAGAAAGGTCTAGGCACTGCCTCCAGACCAAGGTCTGCCCTGCAACCTCTCCCTTCAGCAGCTCCAGCGGGGTGAAGGCATCAGCCACTGCTGCCATAGATGGTGCAGACCCCCAGCTGGAGCTGCAGCCTTTGCTCTCCGATGAGTGCCCACCGATCTGCTTCGACAGTCAGGCAAGATGAGCGGTTGACCTGTGCAAATGGTCACGGGACACTGCCCAGCTGCTGGGTTCTGTGTACCTCAAGTCTCCCACTCAGCCGGTGGAATGTCACTCCTTCAAAGAGGCACTGTCCCATGCCAGCTGCTGCGCAGAGGGCTGCACCACACCCTGGCTGCCACACCGTGCCACACCCTGGCTGCCACACCACACCCTGGCTGCCACACCGTGCCCTGGTCGCTGGTGCTCCCTGGGGCTGCCTTTTGTGGGAGTGGGGGGTGGCTGTTGCTGTTGTTACTCCTGGCCCTGCCCATGCTGCGTCCGCCGCCTTCATGAGACTTGCCAGTTATGGTGGGTCTCTGTGCTCTCCTGGGGTTTCCTTGGCTCAGGAAACCCCCCTGTACACTGCGATCCCTCAATCTGCTGCAGGATTCACTCATGCACTGGAGCTGATCACCTCTGCAAGTGGCTGTTGATGGCTATGTGTCAACAAGCTGCCAGAGACGCTTCCAGCCTCTCATCACGTGTCTGGCTCCCTGATGTGTCAGAAACCAAGTTGTCTCCCCACACCCCCATAGCCTGGACCACCCTGCTCCTCTGGTGACTCCTCCAGCCTCACTTGTCATTATTTGCAGCAAGTCTGGAGAAACTCCAGGGACGTTGTCATTTCTAGGCTTCAGGGCTGGCCCTTTCCAGATCCACTGCTGAGGGTTTTCAAACACAAAATGCAAACCTGATCCATGAGCTTTCCAGGACACAAAGCCCTGAGATGAGCAGTGGCCAGGATCAGTCACAAATGCACAAGCAAGAGTGACTGGATGGTATTCTGGCATTTTGGGGAGCATATTCCTTTAGAACATCTCTGCGTCTCCCTACACTGGTCAGGTGTGAGAGCTGATGCAGGAGTGGGAACCCTTCTGTTAAGGAGAGGTGGAAGCTCTGGGCTGGCAGTATGTGCATGTATCTGGGGAAGTGGATCCTGACCTTAGGGGTTCACTTCTTCCTGGCTGGAGTCAGTGCAAGCCCTCTCTGTGACTCTGCAGGCATGGTGCCTGGGATGGACCATAACCCCAGGACTCTCTCCCCCACATGCTTTTATCAGCACAAGGAGCATTTTCCTGCCTTGCACTGTTTGGGGCTCAGTGTTTGCTGGAAGGAATGCAGTGCCAGCCCATGGCTCACAGCACCAGCTTAGGGGACAGAGAAGAATTTCACTCTGCAGCCAGGTCCAAACCACCTCACCTAGCTAGGTGACAGCTTGTCATACCTGAACAATTCCTCTATGGAGCCAGGTGGCAATCAGGGAATATCAACTAGATGAGCTTGGGTAAACTGTTCTTGGTGTGTCCTTAATCCCTCTAACATCAGTGTCCTTCACAGATGAAATTTAAATGCTGAAAGATTTCTGTGTACTAAAAGGAGGAGATAGAGGGGAGCAGAGGAAGGGGATTCAGCACTAGTAGCTAGGTTGAAGTTGAGGATGTCAGCACCAGCTCGTACATCTCTGCAGAGGAGTCTGTGGTTCTGCAGAGCTGTCTGCAGCAGCACCTTGGGTGTCTCTGAGGCAACTCGTGGACAACATCATCAGCAACTGATTGAGTAAGACACAGCTGCATGCTGTGGGACCTTGCTCCTGCTTCTGCCGAGGGCACATCAATTTGATTTGGAGGAAGAAATACAAAACAGCACTCCAGGAGATGGGGATGTGACTATGGGACTTTCAATGTGTGCTTCTCTGCTCAGACATGCACTGTCTCATGTACCTGAAAAGGAGAAGTGAGCAGGGACAGGACCTAGGGAACAAGGAGACACAGAACCTCAGGTTTATTTCTTAGTACATCTTTGACCTGCTATAGTGTGCTGGGCGAGTGGCCTCTTTGCTTTTCTCACCCATAAGGTTTGGATTCAATGTTGTAGGGCTGGAGCTGCCCTTGCTACTCATCTGAGCAACAAGTAGTGGGATAAACTCAGGTCTGTTAGGAACGTAACACAAATAAATACTCTGCTTCCACTGATTCTGGTCTATCCCTGCAGTGAGGAGTTAGCACTAGGCTCGCTCTCCTGCATCAGCTGTGGGGAGGAGTCCAAGAGCAGGAGTCCAGGAAGAAGAGACCCTTTAACCAGTTCTGCTAATAGTCAAATAAAACATCACGCAACCTGGATGAAATGCCTCCATCCACCAGCAGATAGCCCATCTTCAAATGCTACTGGAAACAAGGTGAAATGGAAGATACTGGCACCTCCTGGCGATTTACATGATGTCCACTTGTGCAGGGCTTGACTTGTGACAACGACACACGTTGCTGGACCGTCTTTTTTGTATCTAGCTCTTGGTCCACAGCAGCTGAAGAATGAGATGTACAAACGTGCCCTGAAGGAGTGGCTGAAGGTGTCTCTGGGCCCAGCTGTAGCTGTGTCATGGTGGGAAGTGCTGGGAAACACTACTGTGGTTCCGGTAGCTGAGGTCCTGGAGCAAGAGTTGTGTGAGGCAGTGGGGAGGGAAGGAGGGAGGTGGCAGTGCTGACAGGTCTGTGCTGGAAGGTCACTCCTTTCCATACTGGCTCCATTGTGGCTCCATCACAGCCTGCAGGGAGGGAGGCAGGGTTGGGAATTCAGTGCCTTTCAGATAGATGGCTCTTGGGTCCAACAGAAAAAGAGGCTGCAAGAACACTGGAGGCTTCATATACGTGGACTAGACTGAAAATTACCAGTAATTACCATTTAGGGTAATAATATCTGAGATGCTGTAGCCTCACCATCACTTGGTCTTTAAATTAGGATAACACACCTTCAGAAAAAGATGCTCGGGCTCACTCAGCATCTGTGGGGCTGCTGGCGATAGTCCAGGGTGAGAGTTTGGTGCTTACAGGAGCTCAAACCAGTGCTGATGTCTTCTGCTCTCTAGAAGACTGCTCTAGGCTGAAGGCACAACCTGTAATATCCTTCCTGGTCCAATTTTTCCATCAAACAACATTATGTTTTCTGTCTTCTCTTGGCTGTTGAGTGGGACCTGTTGGTGCTAGTCAGACACCCTTTTGCCATGTTAAACTGGCCTGAATTTCATTTCTGTTTGCTTATGGGAGTAATGGTATTCTTTGCCCGTCTTCCAGTTTATGCCATCAGCATAGCTCCCGTGAATGCCCAGCCAGTACATCCCATTCAGGTTGGAGTAATGGCAGTCATTGTACCACCACGCTCCCTTGTATTCTGTAGCACAGTTAAAGGAGCTCATGTCATTGTCCTGGTCTGTTGTTGAAAATGGCATGTCCTTGTGGTATGATAAGGAGTCTCCTGCAGAGAGTACACACTCACAGTTACTGCAATGGAGAGAACAAAAGGGAACCTAATGTGCCTGTGCACCACCGCAGGGCATCAGTGGGCTTTGCTGGACGCAAGGCAGATTTTATAAATCCTGGCATTCTCTTGGTTTCCTGGGTTTCCTCCTTGGTCCTGGCATCCTGAGCTCTGCCAGTTCTGCTAAAACACATGAACTTATCTATGCCTGTGAATCAAATGGGTCAGATTCTGTTTGCAGTTACACAGGTGTCACTTCTCTTACACTGCTCAGATCTCTGCAGACATACTGAGGTCTGGATTATCAGATAGAGTTGCAGTGTACAAAGCCACATAACACAGAGCACTGCTATCTCGGGTGTTGGTTTCACTCATTCCTGCATGAGGAGTATTGAATTTTGGAGAGGATTTGTTTGCTTTTTAAAGAAAAACAAAACATCATGCATTAAGAGGATGCAGTGCTGATGCTGCAGGTACTGAACACCACACCAGCTCCTGAAATGCCAAACGTCATGGGCAAATATTTCCTTCCAGTGTAACTGAAAGCAGAACTTGGCCTGACTGCTGCAGAGCTGTTGGGAAGCTTATGTTGGTTGAGGTGCTGCTCGGGACCAGGCTCCACCTTTGCTGCTAAACCATGTGGCTGGGCTTGTAAGTAATGCTCTGGGTCACATTTCTGTGGGTGATAGGTGTCCCTGTCCTTCCTTGCACCTAGAGGTCACTCAGCACCTGGGGAGTTTGCATGATACAGCTTTGCACTATAAATGCTGAACACATCTCAAATGCTCTACAAGACAGCCATTCCTAGTGAGCTGCTGCTAACTTACCAGCATTTCCACCAAGGAAGTCTCCTAGAACCAGTTTGTATTTCTCAGACTCTCCTAAAACTCTGAATGAAGCGTACTTGGCAAAATAGTAGTTGTTGTCAAAGTCTCTCAGATCAATGCGGAGTTCAAAGGGTCCTAGAAGAGAAGGTGGACAGCGGTGATGCAGGGCTGATGGTGAGTGTGCTCCTGGATTTCAGGGTGGAGGGTTTAAGGAGCCCTGAGCTAACTTGAGAGGAGCTTTCACTACTTGAGAGATCATGATTTGTCTCAAATTCCTGCAGAACCTCCAGTACCTTTGATGGCTTTCTTGTGAAGCACCTTTTCTGATCGGATGTTGGGTGGCCATGGACACTGGGAGCTGCACACAACAGCGACTCCAAGGCTGTGAGTGAACAAGACGACTGCCATCATGAGTCCCAGTAGGAAGATATGTTGGCCCATCTCCAAGAAAGGCCATGGAGTCAGCTCATTCTCTTCCCTGGCTTCTGGTCTTCCTTTTTTTTTTAGAGTGCAATTCCCTGTGTGCAATGGACAAGAGCCTGCATGCTGTGTAGGATTAACTGTTGGGGCCTCAGATGGGTGTGAGCAGTTCAGAGTCCTTTAACGACCAAGTGTGGTGCAGGGGTTGGACTCCCAGGGCCCCAGCCCAGGACCTTACCCAGCGAGGTGAGAAAGTGGATGTTGTCATTCCCCAGCCAGAACTCTGTCAGCTGGTTGCCAAAGCCTCGTTTGTATGAATCCCAATCTCGCAAGAAGTTCACTGACCCATCCCAGCGCCTCTGGAAAACCTGCAGGAAAAGAGAGCCTCAGCCCATCCAGACCACCCCCGAGCTTCAAAAGCATCTGCAGCGCCTGGGTAGCACAGATACCTGCAGCAAACGCTCCCCCTTCGTCAGGACCCTCCTGTGGGTCTTTGGGGACTGAAACTCAGGGGAATCCCTCGCTCACAGATCTCCTCCATCTGCCCTTGGAAATGAGGAGGAAATGATTTGCTAATTTAAGCAGTGAGTCTGTGGTGCTCAGCCTGCTCTGAGACATCTCCCAGGAGAATTCCCTGCATCCACAGGCTTGCAGATGTGAACCTCAGCTGTCCCCTCAGTGTGTGTCTTCCTCCCTTTTTGTTTCTATTTTGGTGCCATCCTTTGCAGCCTTAATAAAAATCACTGTAGGGCCATAGAAACCCCCTTCTCCTCATCCTACTCACAATCCATCCTCCGCCATCAGTGTCCATGTCGCAGAAGATGGTGGTGGCGTTGCAGCCTTGGGGGTAGATGGTGTACCAGCCGCTCAGGATCTTCCCTTTACGCAACAGCTCTTGGCAGTTCTTTTTTGAAAGAGATCAAGCAGAAAGAGTTATAATGTGCTCACCGCATCCAGGGAGCACATCAGCCTCATGCCCTAAGCCAGAGGCTTTGAGCCCTTCAGCCTCCCAGCTGGCTCCTTGCACTGCAGGACTGGCACACACCTACCGGGAGCCAAACCCTGCTGCAGTTTCTGTGTCCATATGTCACAGGGGAGATGGGCACCTTCTAAGAGATGGTCTAAGGTGCTCAGACTCCTCTCATCTGTAATGATTCTTTCAGGAGTCTGGATGATGGAGGTGGTCTGAGTGGGATGACAAACTCATTATTCAGGAATTTGTCCAGTCCCAGGAATGTATGGGGGACACAGAGAGTTTGTGGGTAGCTGGCAGCAAAGGAGAGGTGACACAGAAAAACACTTACCTGTAATACAGAAAACAGCATTCAGATCATCCTCTGTGGATTGGACAGGTGGCACTTTTGAATATATACATACATATCATGTATACATTTATTTTTCCTCCCAAAAGCCATGCCTGATGACAGAAGCTCAGATTCACATATGCCAAAGGATTGACTGGAATGGTCCCTATCAGACATCCCAGCTTACAGCTGCATCTGTGGCTTTCACAGGGAGAGCCCTGGGAGATGACCTGAAATGGTGGTGCTGGTGGTGCAGGTGTCTGAGTGTGCTGCATTTGATGAATGGACACACAGCTGTACCAGGCTGTCTTGTGCACATGGGTGTCCTTCCTAATGGGGGGATGGTCCTGGACTTGGCCTGTTCCTTATTAGTCAAATGTTTTTACATGCCCAGGAAACACAAAAGGGCAGAGGAGTGCCTGGGGCAGCAAGGGGCCAGTTCAGAGGCACTCCAGTCTCTCAGGTGTTGCAGCAGCTCTGATCTGCCCCAGCCGACAGCATCCAAGTGTAGCCAGAACAGGTTGTAGATCTGCTGTGGCTTTAGCTCATGGCAACAGATGGGTCAACTGAAGCTTGCTTGTTTTCTTTCTTTCTTTTTTTTTTTTTTTTTTTTTTTTTTTAAATTATGAAGTTAATCTGAACACTATCACACACAGGAACTCTGCGTCTACTGTACCTGCCACTGCAAGCGTGCTGGCCTTTGAAGCAGTAGCATGTCTACAGATGTGTTTCTAGTGGTTTCATCTTGTAAACCAGGACACTGAGGCTGTCAAAAACTGACAGACCTCCTCCAGGACACACAGAGACAGGTGACTCGAACAGAGGTCAGAGGACAAGACTTTCCTGGCCTGTCTGGATTACAGAGTAGACACACAGAAGCTCCATGTGGCTGTGAGAAGCAAATGGGTTAACAGTGATATTTTCTTACTCCATCCATCAGTGTCACTCTGAATTTGTTTTTATTGCTGCCCTGTCCTCACTTTGGTTCAGGGAGTCCATCACCATCTTCTCTGCAAAGCTAACAGTGGTATAAAGGACCTAGGATGAAACTCACCCCATGTTTCTGGAAATCCAGGCTCTCCTTTAGTTCCTGTTGGACAAACAACATCATCAATTGCTCTTCACCTTCTGCACCCCCCTCCTCCAGCACATGGCATCACTTGCTTTTCAAGACAAATCCTGCTCCACTGGTAGAGGGCTGTAGTGTTAGGGGAAGTGTTTAGCTCATCTGCACACACAGCAGAGGCACAGAGAAACCAGGCAGGAGGAGTAACTCAATATATGTCCTGCCCACCAGACGACACCCACCAGCACATCAAAGGCCGAACTGCACAGACCTAGGAGAGCACAGAGGGACAATGGCAGGTGGGAACTCAAGTCACAGACTCCTGTAATTGCAGCGGTGACACCCAGCAATCACTGGGAGCAGCTCTCCAGGTCACTTAGGAGGCACATGAGGTGGCTGCCAGGGGAGTGGGACACATTAGAGATGCACAAGGAGCAGCATCCTTGCCTCTCTTGGGCTGTTGGACCTGGTGTGATACATTTTCCCCTGACATCTGATTTGGGGCTGGGAGGTCCAAATGGCCAGACTGGCACAGTGATGGACCTGGCTGCTCTGCCTGCTGCTGGCCAGCCCATGGGGCCGGGTACTGACATTTCATGCCAGTGATTCCTGTGGGGCTGGGACAGGTGGGCCAGGAGCAGGTGGGTATGGGAAGGAGGAGGAAACACACAAACAGGAAGGCAGGGTCACAAACCCTGAGAGGGGTATGGTTGCTGCTGGCAGAGGGCTTTAGTCAGTGGTTTGGGAGCAGCTGTATTGGCTGGAGCAAATGTGCTGATCTAGCCACCAGATGAGCAGTGCTTGGCTCTCAGCTGTTACAAGCCCAGCTCCAGAGAGGGAAGCCGCAGTGCAGACAGTGCTCAGCAACGGGTGCCAATAGCCCTTGCATGCAGGATGATGGCATCAGGAAAAAACCCTTGTTTTCCCTCTACCCTATTGCTGGTGCTGGTAGAGACATGTTCGTCTGGCATTAGCGGTGATGAGTTTCATCTGAGCTCCTGCCTTTTGCCATAGCATGCGAAGATCAGAGATCTGCCCAAATCTGGCTGGTCCCTCAGGATGGGGATTGTGAAGCCCTGCAGTTTCTGTAGCTGATGGTGTTGGTCAGCAGCATCAGGTGCCTGAGCTGGGGACAGCCCCTGTTGCTGAAGAGCTGCTTTGGGAGAGAGGCTGCTAACGCTGCCTGGACTGGGGCTGAACCCAGATGGGACACAACTGTCACCAAACAGCCCCACCCAGTATCTGGTGGGGTACTTTTATTTCTCTATAGTTGCTCCCACCTCCACAACAGCACAGGGTGGAAGTTTAACTAAACCAGCTCACAGGATAAATTCAGCACAGCATGATTTACCTTTTGGTCCTGGGAAGCCAGGCTCTCCAGCTGCTCCTGCGAGAGACAAGATGAAAACGCTCATCACAGATGACTCAATGCAAATGGATTACTGTGGCTCCCCAGGAGGCTGCTCCAGCTCCTCCATACGTCCCAAACGTACAGGAGAGGCTGTCAAGTGGTGCAAAGCCACCATGCTCTGCTGAATGTCCCCGCTGGTGCTAACACCCTGGCCTGGCTGCTCTCTTGATCAGCAGCATCTCTAACAAACAGCAGGAAGAGGAGGATACAGGGAGAGAGAACTGCTGCTGGAGTGTATGGGGTATTCACAGCTCCATCATCTTTCTGTGGGGACTTTCTGTTTTCAGTCAGGCACCTGTAAGATTTTGGGCAACAGCTGCATTTTCAGCGGGTTCATCCATCTCTTGCTGGGGTTTCAGCTGAAGCCGTGGGTGCTTTTGGCCAGGAAATAGCTACATACTCAGCAGGCAAAGGGACTGTTTTCCCAGCTGGTCAGTGCACCGGTGCTGAGTTCCTGGGTGCCACGCTGTGCTGGGAACTGGTTTCTTTGAGAGATACACTTTTCCAATACCTGCAGTACACAGATGCTGCTGAAGCATCTTAAGCACCTTAAGCACAGCCTGGATGGAGTGAAAGACAATTTCTCAGCAGAAATCTTCCTCTTTTTAGGCGCTCATTCCATTGCAAAGAAATCCCCATTCCCTCCTTGCTTCACCCTGTGTTAGTTGTTTCCTGATGGTTTGATCCCATCCTTCTGGTCAAGTGGGCTACACTGGCATTGCACGCCCAGCCCAGGCCTGGAGGCTGCTGGAAGCACTCAGCATCATGTCTCTGCATCAGGCATCCGGCTGAAGCACTGCAAAGCTCCTCAGAGAGGGAGGGCATTGGGGCAGGTTTGTTGTGGTGAAGGCAGGTTAGGGCTGGAGTCAGGGATGGGGAGAGGTCTGATTTTAGGGGGCTAGTAAGGATCAGTGGGGAGTTTGAGAAGAAGAGTAGTATCTTCCCCTGCGATGTGGTCCCACTCAAGGACACTGTTTCTAGTACTTACCCCATGCAAAATCTATAGCCCCAAATTCTGCTTTGCCTACACTACCTCAGGGCTGTTTCTTGGACTATGACCAGCTCTGCAGTTCATTTCTGTAGACCCAGTCTCCCAATGCGTGTCCTGAACTTGGGCAGATTTGTGGATTAAAGCTGAATATGTTATGCATTACCTTTCGCACCAGGTGGTCCTGCTTTCCCAGGGAGTCCTTGGGCTCCCATTTCTCCTGCAAGGAAAAACTCAGTTTGTATAGGCATATCGGAAACTGGCCAGAGGGAGATGTTACAGACACCTGGGCAGCTGAGCCTTGGCTTTCACAGAAACAAGGAAGCTGGGTTTTGTTAATTAGATGCAATCTTGCAACATAGAAACTCCTTTTCTTCTGTTGAAGCTACCCTACACTGGTACTGCTGGTATAAGTCCCAGTTTGCAGTTCACGCGTGAATTCCTATGAGCTTTGTACATCTTGGAGCCAGTCCACAGATTTTGCTGCCGTGGATCCACTCCCTCTGCACTTTCTCTATGACATGGGTATGAAAACCTGAAGGACCCACATCTCCCTTGCTTCCTGGGGTGGGGGGTGCCAGTACAGTTCCCAAACTGTTCTCTGGTAGACATGCAGGAGCATTGCAGCCTCCCTCCCACTCAGACTGTTCAATAAATAAAATAAATGGATGTTTTTACTGTAGAAGAAACAAATGAATTACGACACTTCACAACCCAGGACCACTTCAGATTTCTGACAGGACTCAGGGAGAAAAAGACAACTCCATGTGTAGCAGCACGCCTCTAGATGGGGTGTTTTCCACTCCTATTTGACTCTCCAGCTGCTCACAGAAGCCAGTGCCAGGCCAGCCACTGCTCCAGCCTCAGCTTGCTTCCCCTGCCCAAAGCAACAAAGTCATCTCATACCACAGTGTTCAGCTCTGGCTTTTGGGGCCTCACCTTTTGTTCCTGGGAGACCTGGTTCTCCTTTTGGGCCAGAGGCACCTGGGATCCCTGGGCACCCTTGGAGAACGGCGAGCCGGTCAGCATCACCCAGTCCCACTATTCTCACCTCTGAGGAAATGAAAACAGTCATTGTGGAGATTATTAGGGCTCTGAAATGTCTTGGAGAGGAAACCGAACAGTGCAAGCAAAAGGAATGAAGTTGCAACGCAATGAGTTTGGAAGTGTCGCATGGATTAACATTGAGGATCTCACATACTAGAGGAGCTAGACATTGAATCGCTCCGGCTTCAGTGCACTTCAGTGGGAGAGGAGGCTGTTATATAGGACATTACATGCATGACAAATATACTGTAGCTTAATAAAACAACAGCTGAGTGGTGCTCCGGGGGCATCGACAGCAGAAAAAGTGACATTAACAGATCTGTGGACAGTAAAGGTTCTACCAAATTTCCTGATAGCACGTCAGATTGAAATCACCCCTAACCCCTTCCTGAGGAATACAGACAGAAAGCTGTGCTGTGCAGCATCCCAAGGCTGCCAGGGTGCCTGGCACGCCGCAAGCACTTGACTGATCCTTTGTATGGCTCTTCATCCTTTAGTAACTGTGCCAAGGCACCACGAACAAAGCCCCTTAAGCAGGATGAAAAACCTTGACCGGGACAGCCTGTTCCTGGAGATCCCACCGGTGAGGGGGAAAGGATCCTATATATTTGGTGGGAACCAGCAGTTTTGTAAAGTGGCTGCTGAGACTTCAATCCTTCCCCTTCCCCTCCTCCCACTTGCAGCTGAATTTTAAAAAGCACAGAAGCAAAAAAATCATATCCCCCTCCCCCAAGCTCCTTGTGTAATGGGGGGAGATGAAACAGGCTGTCTCAGTGGGATGGCAGTAGGATTTGTGCCTTGCTCACCTGGGCAGCTGTCCTGGGCATCACAAATAGTCGCTGTTAGGCTGAGCAGGGTCAGGAGGGTTGGGGCTGCCCTCCCCATGGCTGGCGCTGCTCTCTGCTCTCTGTGCAGCTCCCCTCATCCACGGCCCAGGCACTGTGGTTAGCATTGACCCACCTAAGCCTTTTATACTTCAGAAAAACACCCAGTGTAAGCTCCACCTCCATGCTTGCCCACTGCCTGCTCTCAGGTCTGGGACTCTGGGTCTCAGGCGGTTTGCCAGAGAAGCCACTTGCCACAAGTCTGATGGGAAAGTTCTTGCCTGGCTGCCCCAGCCTGCCTTGCCTCCGTTCTCTGCAAATCTTGTATGCCTTTCCCCTTCCACATTGTATTTCTAGAGATGAACCAGCAATACAAGGTTTACCTAAGTGCGGACGGCTCCCCTCATCCTGCCTGCTAGGGGCCCTTTACAAAGAGCAGAGCTTACTGTGTAGGTGGGGAAACTGAGGCACTGGGAGATTAAAAGGCCCAGGTCAGCTGAGGCCCCTGGCAGTGAGGTGCACAGCCTGACCCTGCTTCGCTGCTCTGCCCGCCGGGCAGCCTGGAGCCACTTTGCAACACATCAAACAGACGTTTCAGTTTATACATGCTTCATGACTGATACGGAGTTAAAACTCTGTGTATACAGGCAAGGTTAGGAGAGCAGAGCAAGTCTGATTTTTTTTTTCCCCCCTCCTTTTTTTTTTCTTCAGTCCCTGTTACAGTGAGCAGGATTTCCATTTTACTTTGCTGTTGCTATGCTCGATGCTCTGCTCATTTGTGGCAGCATTACTGGAGATCCAAACTGCCTCACTGAGTTTGAACCCCTTGTTACCTTCAGACACAGAGCCTATAAAGTTTATTAATTTTAGAAGAGGGCAGAAATTAATTTTTTTCCTCCTTATTGTTGCATTCCAGTTCAGAGGAGATTCTGATTTCTTGGAGCCTTTCCCAGCTACCAGGATATCAGAGGCAGAGCATAACTTCTCCTGAAGCACTCACTTCTATCATGAGGTCCCTCTAACATCCCAAATTCTAATGACATACGACAGCCTACTTTAATGTTCAGCAAAGGGGAGAAGGCAGGAGAGACATAAGTGTTTGGCTGTCACTTAAATTCTGTATCCCCCAAATAGCCCACACATACACACACTCACACATTCTTATACATATTCATATATGCATGCATATAAAATAATAATTCAGCAGATGTTGTGATTATCATCATGCCTGAGAACCAGTTCTGGCAGGCAAATGCACACCTTACTTTCCTGCCCCCATTTGAAAAAGTGCAGGGAAATCAGAGGGATTGTGATCAGACTGGTTGCATTCAAGTTTGGGTTTTGCTTTACATGGGAAAAAGTATCTCATCCATGGCAAGCACTGTGCACGCAATTCTTGGGGAAAAATAAGAGCAGTTTCTTTCTTCAGCTTTTCAGAAGGAAAGAGAAAAAGGATGAGCAGGTGCCTCCGAGCTGCTAGAGAGGAAGAAGTCTATGCAGGGCAGCTATAGGGTGCCAGGGGACTTGAACACCCTGTTCCCTCATCTGTACAGCCTGTGCTGCCCATCTGGGACAGACTTGTGTCTGCCCCATAGGGCAGGGGGAGATTAGGAAGGGCCAGCCCCTAGCACTGAGAAGCCTTCTCCTGCCCAGTGCCTTGGATCCTGTGCTCTGTGCCTGGAAATGGCTGAAATACCTTGTTCCAACTATCTGAAGGCAAAAGCTGTTACCCTCAGCTGTTTCCTGTGGTAAATCAGTCCGAAAAGCAATGGCAAAACTGGCCCTACAGATTACCCCATCACCCATCATTACAGTCGGTCAAAAGCTCCAGGCTAGATCTGTCCTGCTTAAAAAAAAAAAAAAAAAAAAAGGCAAAAAAAAAAAAAAAAGCCAGCTTTTCCCAGTTGCCCCATTAGCAGGGATGGCCAGCTCTGGGCTGGGTTCAGAACGCACATTGTGGAGGCAGCGATGTATCTGCCCAGTACTGATGCATCCCCTTAGGTGCTACCAACTGTGAGCTTCATCCAGCCTGGGGGACACCTGGAGATCACCTTCTGTCTGCGGACAGCAGCAGTGTCATTGTGGATGCAGCTGCTTTTAGCAGTGGGGGGAAACTGCCAATGAACAAACTTATTCCAAAGTAGGTCAGGCCCCCAGGGGTAGATTTTGGAATTGGCCCAGTAATCAATATGTCCTTAATTGCTTTTCCTCATCCCAGGATACAGTGATTGCAGACAGCTGATGATCATTTATGCCTTCAGCAATTCTTTTTTCTATGTAGATTCTCCCTTGAGCCCTGGGAAATGTCCCCTGTGAGTCTTGAAAGTCCAGAATCACTTTGGGGATGGGAAAACAAGAATTGTAAGCACACTGGGTGAATGGGGAGCACTTCTGAACACTGTGACCCATCATTTCACCTCTAGAGACATAAATGCAAGAGTGAAGTCCCCAGAATTGAACTGATCTGCAAACCCCAAGAAATTTAAGTTTAGCAAACCAGAAGGCACAACCAGGTGACAGAAGAGCTTCAAAAAGTACATGTGGGAGCATCATAACTGTGTGCAACAGGGGATTTAGCACTCATTAATGCAAAATTGTAGGTAAAATCCTGGCTTCTGGTGGGGTCCTGGAGCTTTGCTGCCTCCATGATGCTAGAGCTTTGCAGTGAGGACGGGGAAAGCTGCACAAGCTGTAGGTACGTAAAACAACGAGCAGCAAGACCCAGTCATTGTATTCCTCTGCTCCGTGCTAACTTAAGGACATTGCCACACAAGTCCTAAAGCTGCAAGGAGGGCAGGCAGTTGGCACTGGGGAGCTGGAAAGTAAACTCTGACAGATCTAACGTTAAGTGATACAAAATAAGAGCTTCCTTGAGAGTTGGCACCATTGTGGGTGCTCAAGGGGAGCTTCCATGCACTTTGGAGACTTGCTTTGCTGAGAAAGGAGTGATGTCAACCTGCAAGGGTAGGTTATCATCCAAAGCAGTAAGGAAGGGTGTTCTTCTGGCTTAGTCTTTTGTGGGCTATGCTATTTATAGCTCTTCACTATGTGTGAATAACAAAATTTTCAGGTTTTTTTTGATGAACACATATTTCTAAGGGGGAACTTCTTCAGCCCATGACCAGTTTTAGTATCTGTGTTGGGGACATCTGCCCAAGCTAAGATAGCAGTTTTTTTCAAAAGTTGTTCCTTGGTCTTCCCCTTCTTTTTATGGATTTTGTGAACTTACAGCATCTTTGAGTGCCTGAGTGCCTTGGTGCTAAGAGCCCTGCTGCACATTTCCCTTGTGCTTACTACAAAACCAGTTCCAAGGAGTTTCTGAGGCTCCAAAAAGGCACAGGCAAGTGGTAGTTTCTAAAGACAGTTGTCCTCACCAGGGACGAGAAATGTGGGGAAACAAAGGGAGGAGACTTTCCCCTGCTTATACCTTGGGCTTCATGTTCTGTGTTACTGAACAAAGTTTCACTCTTTTCTTTCCCAGGACAGCTGTGAGGAGCTCAGGGTGCTGGTTTCACTGGCTGTGACTGGTGCCCACAGAACCTTCCTGCTGGGCAGAGCAAAGCCAAACTTTCCCGTAGCTGCTGCTGGCTGTAGCACGTCTTAGTGCTGGGCAGCCAGGCAGTGCAATGGTGTATGAGCACAGAGCACCCAATCTGAACCTGCATCTAAGGGGTCCTTCCCCACATTTCCATACACTGGATTTGGGGCACAGCAGTTTCCTAATTTAAAGAGCCAATTAGGACAGGTCTCTGTGAGTTATTGCACAGCAGCCACAGGCCCTTGCTGAACATCTGGTTTAGCATTTGCTCGGTTTCCTCTAGGAGCTGGTGTTGGGGGACCTTTGCTTAACTCTCCTTGTGGTTATATATTGAGACAGCCTACCCCAAAACGATTTCATTTTATCGGTTGCTTTCCTACCAGCCTCTCTATCAGCCTCTGCTTTGATAAGATATTTCCTGCTGCATACCATTTTTAACTTATTTTATAATCTCTAGTAACACCTCTTCTGATTTGTGAAAGGCTGGCAGCTGTTCATCACTGAGAGCAAGGGAAGAGAGGCAGAGATTTGATTTATAGGATAGGCAGAAGCTGCTCTGCACCCTCCCTGCCCAGATGAATCCTGAAGAGTGGAAAGGCAATGCCCAAGCCCTTTTTGTTTACTGATGTTAATTTTCCCATGCACAGTGCAGTGGAGACATAGATGGGACTGGTCGCTCTGGCACAACTGGTTGGATGAGGAATGTACTCAGGAAATGAGCACAGGAGGCTCTTACTGCAGGGGCATCTGGTGAGGGTATGTACACTAAACGGGCAAGGATGGAAAGAGTAAACAGCAGGACAATTTTTCTAACAATTTGCCTGTTGTTGGACCAGACAAATGTCATACAACTGGAATTTATACCTGCATGAGGTGAATTGTTTCCTGGTGAAGGTTTTTAATATTTCTCCTATTATCCCCATTCAGGCCTCAAATGTCCCATTTAGTGACCTCTGCATAACAATATTTGCTTCCTTCTTCTCCAGTGGGGAATTCTTGTTCTCTCCTGAATTGCTTCCAGTGATTTTGCAGTTAAGCAGCCACAGAGCTTAGAGTAGGAAACTACTTCCCACAACAGGCACTGCTCTCTGCAGTGGTGTATGCCAAGCATAACTGTTAGCCCAGTCCAGGCTTTCTGGCTCCCTCCAGACATTGTACAATACAAGCCATAAAAACATGCTGGACATTTTTTTATGGAGAATAAGGACTGGATTTTCAGGATAGCCAAGGAACAGACTTCCCTAGTTTCCTGCAGAGCTGGACTCTATTGTCTTTCCTCTGTTGTAAATCTTTTCAGACTAGTTTAATAGTGTCATCTAGAGTGACAGTGTTCAGCTGAGCCTGGAGAGGAAAGGTGCAGATTCGGTGTTAATTGTTTGGGTAATGGGCCGTTCAATCCGGTATTTATTTTGGTGATTTGAAGTCCATTGTGGCTTTGGTAGGCCTACTGAGTGACTTTGTCACACAGAAGAGTATAAGATTTCAATCAAACATTTATTTTATTGTAGTTTTTCTTGTTTCAGTATAAATCAATCTTGTAGAAAGGGACTTTTTATTGTCCTTTAGCTTGAGCTGGGATTAAAGACCAAGGACTGAGTGCTGAGTGGACCATTGTCCCGCATGGAGCTAAAATCCAGCTGAAATCCAGCTCTGATAGCAAC